GATGAATATTTTTACCAACATAAGTTACGTTGTTGAAATCATATTTTCAACAATGTGCCTTATGTTGCTGAAAAGGCTTTATGTATCAGCAACAAAATACTTGTTGGTAATGTATCACCCATCTAAGTTTTTCCAACAAAACTTTTAGCAATAAGAATTATGTTGCCGAAGGACTTTTAGCAACATGAAAAGCACTTTCAACAATGTGCTTCCATCTTGTTGAAGATAGGGATTTTAGTAGTGAATGCTTTATATATGCTTTCCCAAGTTATAATCACCTTACTTGGATGCTTAATTAGTTGGTAGTATTTGCTTATGATTGATGTTTATAGGTTAGAGCCAGTTAGACTGAGTTCATGCGAATAATGAATCACTAATAGCACCTTGGCAATGGAAGATGTAATTTTGTCCTTTAATTTTTTTTATAACTATTTTTTGTGCACAAGATTATGCAAAGTAATTAAAGAACATTTCAAATGTCCTACATTTATCCTATGTCCAATCAATAATATTATAACATGTGATTTATTGTATTGCTTGTGCACATGACCAAGGGTAGGTATTCATCAAACGTTTATGTCCTCATGTTTCTTGTAAACACCGCAAATTAATTACCATAAAATATAGTAAGTCTTTCCCTCCACTTCAAACCACTTAATAGCATAATTGTATATGGGTTGGAATATTTCTTGTATTTTAATATAATAAAATTTTGTTTAAATGATTGAAATAAAAGTCTTTTCCTCTACTTCTAAATATCCATTTCTAATTACATGAATGGAAGAATATTTAGGTTGTATTTAAAATTATTATGAAATATTGTGATTGTAATTTTTTTTTTTTAATTTTTTGTTGTGAAAAAATTTGTTGTATCTATGATTTTGATAATTATAAAACACATTTAAATGACTAATTTGTTCATCTAAGTGTATAGTTTATCACCTAAAAGATGGCAAAAGTAAATGAATTGAGACTGCGCTAAAAATGGATTAAAAATGCTAAAATTGTTGCAAAGAGCTGGTTCTACAATTCTGCAGCCAGCTCTGGTGCAGATAAATGCAAAAAGCTAGCTCTAAAAGTTGTAGCCAGCTCTATTGGTGAAAAGTTCAAACCTACAGTTTGGTGTGCGTTGAAAATGGACGCAGAGCCGATTATGACTTTACAACCGGCTATGATGGTGCATTTAATACTCAATAGTCATATTTTTAACTCTTTAAACTTAGATTTCCTAAGCTGACTTTGTGTTTTGCAACCAACTCTTCAAAAAAATAGAATGTCCAAGCAAGAGGAAAGCTGGTTCTAAACATGATAGTTGGCTCTACAAAGCCAGCTCTAGAGGTAGAGTTAGCTCTATTGACAAAATCTGTAGCATCTTTTCTCAAACTTAAATTGATATGAAGAGCATTTAATGAACTCCAATGGCTAAAAATGACTATTTTCGACTACGGGGTATAAATATGGTAAATAGAAGATCTGAAACAAGTTTTAGGCATTTACATTGTATATCCTTTATCTACCAACTTGTGCTTTAACTTGAAATTTTGATCTTTAAGTGATCTTTACTTGTAATTCTCTACTTGTTTTGTTTGAGAGTTATTTCAGGGGTGTCATTATTCCTTCAAGAGTGATTCGTAGTGAGAATTCCTAAGTTTGTCTTGTAAAAAGGTGAGATTTAAGAGAAAACCCATCTTTTTGTAGAAGGATTGAGTGGTTTTTTTAAACCATTTTTATTTTTCTTAATGGAGAGTGTGGAGGAAATTTTTGGTGAGTGAAGCCAAGGTAGAGGATTAGGTTTCAAGTAGTTGAACCGAAACTCTATAAAATTATTATGCAAGCTTTTCTTCCCTACTCTTTTTGATTTTTTGCTTTGTGGTTGCAAAAAAGAAGAAATTTTTGATACTCCAATTCACTCCCCTTTTGGAGTGTATTGAGCCAACAAAATTACATTATTATTTGATAATCACTACTAGCAAAAGCTTTATTTCAGAGAAAAGATTTTGACCGAAAAAAGACTCAATTCAATCAAGCATTTTGACTGAAATAAGTTTTAGTCCGATTAAAAGTTATTTAACATAATAATTCAGACTAAAATCATTTCAGTCGAAAATATTAATCGAAATAAAAGAGCTCCAA